GGTGATGCAGGTCAAGTGCAAAGGTCACCGGCTGCAGAATCCCCCCTCACTCCAGACGGCCTGGCCTTCAGCTGATTGGACGAGGCCCACCCACCCTGGGCAGGGCAATCTGCTTCACTCTTGGCCCAATGGACATGTGAAACAAAGGACCATGGCTTCCTGTCAACGTCCGGTCGCAGCATCTTTACCCACCAGACAGCCCACCGCGTGTTATGTGTGCTTCTGTCTGAAGACTCCCAACTTGGTACTGTTGGCGCACTGACGCTGAACTCGGGGCTAACAGCCCACACTCTTGCTGCATGGAAGCTTCTCTGTGAGGCCTGCCACGCCCTTCTTACACCTCGGATCCTGGACAGCACTGCAGTGTGACCCTGGGGCCGTTTTAGACAAGAGCCCGGCAAAGTCAGGTTCCCCGGTGGCTCAGATGGTAAGGAATCCGCCTGCCATGCGGGAGACGTGGGTTTGATCCCTGGGTCAGGAAGGTCCCCTGGAGGAGGGAATGGATACCCACTCCAGTATTCTTGTCTGGAGAACTCCATTGACAGAGGAGCCTGGCTGTGATAGCTTATGGTGAACAATGTCGGATTCGTGATCTCGGAAGAAGATTTAGCTTCGGAACCAGGGACCAGGCTTGATCATTCAAGAGCTTTTTGTGTAGCAGAATTATATTAAAGTTTAAAAATGGACAGAGGAAGCTTCTGACAGGGAGAACAGAAGGGGGACAGTGCCCCCCTCACTAGTCTTATCAAAGCCTTATATACTTTACCAGACCCCCTCCCACAACATACATCCTAAATTAACAGGATGAAAATTAACAGTGGAAAGGTCTTACCAGACCCACTCCCACAACATACGTCTGAAGATAACAAGATTAGTCAAAGTGTTCTCAAGAAGGAGAGGCATGCCCTCAAGCAGCATGGTGCGGTTTAGTCACTAAGTCGTGTCTGACTCTTGTGATCCCATGGACGGTAGCCTGTCAGGCTCCAGTGTCCATGGGATTCTCCAGGCAAGAATCCTGGAGCGGGTTGCCATTGTTGTTAATATAATCATGTAAGGAAAAACATATCCTTGAGCAAGATGAGTTGTTTTGTTGTGCTCTGCACTTAAAGAAAAAAAGCGTTTGTCCTTTTCTCCTCCTTGAGAGCCCCAGACCTCTATCACCTCCTCCGGGACCCTGGACCTCTTATCAACCGACCTAGGAACTGACTCTCAGCTAGCTACAGCCCATGGGGTCACACAGATGTGAAGGACGTGTAATTGCGTAGACCACGAGAAGGGCGTTTGTTCACCTGTGAGCTGAGGGGGAAGGTTGCATGTGGCTCTGACCCGGTGGAGCCGGGGCAGTGTGTCCGGAGGCGCACGTGTCTCCCCACTCTGCAATGTCTGAGGATGACCGTGAAGGCACATGGGTGCTGACTGCAGGTCACCAATAGGTTTTATTGATTGACAGACGGATGTGCAAACACAGCCTCCCAGACCCATTAGGACAGGCTGTGCACGTGCTTGGCGGTGACTCACGGTCAGATGGGGCCAGGAGTGGCCGTGGAGATGGAGCTGGACAATCAGGGCCAGGGACACGCGTGGGGCTAAGTGACTTTCTCATGAGTCTGGACAGGGGGTCTGGCCTTTCCATTTTAGAGTATTGCAAAGCAAGCGGTGGTCTGACTTATATTTCTGATGTGTGTAGTTGCTTTCATCTACAAAAGTGGATGAAGGGGGGGACGCTGGAACTGGGGGTCCTGATGAAGCCTGCTCCCAGGACTCCGGGAGAGAAGGTGGTCCTCTGTGGGGTGGGGGTGGGAGGGATGGAGCTGGGAGGCGTGTTGGGGACAGGGCCGGAGGAGGAGGCCTTGGGGAGAATTCTGGGGCCTCCAGCCCTGCAGCCCTGGGTCCTGAGCCCTTGCCCGACTCCTTCAACCTGCTTCCTTCTCCTCCTCCCCGAGACTTCCCTGGGAGACCCCAGAGCCCCCAAACTCCTCCAGGGCCATGTGGTCAATGCCTCCCATGTTTCCCCCAGACCCTATCTGAGGGGCTGCAACGCCCTCAGCTGTCCACCAGCGGGGTCTTCCTTCAGCCTTGAGGACAATTCCATTCAAACCTGTCACTCCAGCTTTTAAGAAGTCGGGGCCCTCTGTACCTGGGTGGTGGCTCTCAGTCCTGAATTGGAACTCTCTGCCCTGGGGTGATGGTGCTCAGTTCTGAATCAAGGCCTCTGCCCCGGGTGGTGGCTCTCGGTCCTGCCTCTGCTGGGAGCTTCCCTGCAAGGCTGGAGGGCAGAGGTCCCCGCTCGGCAGCCCCTCTGTGGACTGGGCGGCAGGGACAGATCTAGGGGAGCTGCTCCGGCGGCTGCAGACCCGGCCCTTTGTTCACCTCTGAGCTCTGAGCCGAGCTGCATCTCTCAATGAATCACCACCCACCCGTGACGAGGCCCGCTTCTTGTCTGCCCTCCGTCGGGCCCTGAGAGCCCGCGGGCCTCATCTGCATCTGTCAACATCAGCCCACACCGAGGATGCCCCCTTCTCCTCGCCGGGTTCATCTAGGGCCTTTAAGATGCCGGGAGCATGGAGATGCTGAGACACACGCTGCAAGGAACAGACTTTCCACGATCAATGGCAGTCAGCTCTCTCTTCTTCCCAGCCCTTGATCTGAATATTTGCAGGGAGTTCTGATCAGACGCTCACTGTCCCAATTAGTATGACTTCATCCGGAAACACAAGAGTGTTTTTATCCAAAATCAGTTATTTTGAGTCCCTTCAGCACATTATGTGGCAAAACACCCCAGAGGAAGGTGGCGGGTGACGGCACATGACACGCCGGTCAGTTACGGGGCGGGCAGTGCCAGGGCGAGTGTCCGCCATCCGCGCCACGCCCGGTGCTCGTCTGAGTCCAGAGCGGCCTGCCGCGCTCTCTCCTCCCCTCCTCTCAGCCCGCAGCAGAGCCCCGCCGAGGGGTCTTCCTAGAGGGGCTCCCGACCCTGGAGAGGGGTCAGCCCGGCGCCCCGGGCCCCAGTACCCATTTTCACTTTTGCCACAGTCCTCTGGGGATTGGGCTTCCCTGGTAGCTCAGCTGGTGAGGAATCCACCCGCAACGCAGGAGACCTGGTTCCGTGCCTGGGTTGGGAAGACCCCCTGGAGAAGGGATAGGCTGCCCACTGCAGTATTCTCGGGCTCTCCTGGTGGCTCAGCTGGTAAAGAACCCACCTGCCATGAGGAGACCTGGGTTTGATCCCTGGGTTGGGAAGATCCCCTGGAGAAGGGAGGGCTATCCACTCCAGTAATCTGGCCTGGAGAACTCCATGGACTGTGTAGTCCGTGGGGCCCCAAAGAGTCAGACACGACTGAGCGAACTTGACTCTCCCTTTCACTAGGGGGGTCGCTTCACACCAGGAGTAAGGAGCAGAGTGCGGTGAGCAGGAAGTCCTCTCACTGTTCAGACACATCAGGCCGTGGTTTGGCAGCCAAGTGGCTGGTGGGGCAGGCTTCTAGGTTGGGGGGGCATCCCGGGCGGGGTCCAGGCAGACTCAAGGGGGCATGGGTGCTGCCGCCGTGAGGACTATGTGTCCCGGCGAGCAGCCGCCTCTGGCAAGCCCTCCTCTGAGCAGCAGGCCCGAGCCCTCCCAGTCCCCGGAGAGCACGGAGTCCTCCCTCGTCTCTGCCCCCCTCCCCTCCACCCCTGCCCTCTCAAAGTCCAGAGTGCTGTGAACTTGGCGTGCAGACGGTCTCCGGGAACATGGTCCACGCGCGGAATGTCGACAGATTCACACATCCTCCCTTCTCTCCTAATTATAGTGAACCCAGGAGGTGACATAGTCCCATCTGTGTGGGAACTGGAGTCAGGGCGTCTCCTGGAGGCTGAGGCTAAGGTTCTCCTGTGTTTGTGGCCGTCTCCCTGGTCCTTATCTTACCACTTCTGGTATCTGTCTAATATTTAAAAAATTAAAGAATCCCAGTCCAAAGTGGTACCATCTATGGGAGTTTGATCTGCTAGTGAGATTTTTTTGACTGTCTTAAGTAAATTCAAAATCCTGGAGACAGAAGAACCTGGAGAAACCCCGTGTTTGTGGGGTCCCTGCATCCTGGGTCAGGACCCCCTGGGTGACAATGTGGGGTCACTGCTGGGCTCCGGCTTAGCTCTCTTTCCAATGCCAGCTGCTCACCCCCCGGAGAGCGCCCTCCCCTCCCAGATGATCAGGCTCCAGGGACGTGAGCTCGGAAGAGGAAGGAGCATCTCCTGGGAACGTGGTGAGGCTGGAGTGAGGAGGGGCCTGCTGGGCTGAACCTGATCGGCTGAAAGAGGCCCGCTGCGGCGTCCGATGCTGGATTCCAACCGCGGGACTATCCCCGGGCTCCTGCTCACAGTCCTCAGCTTAGAGCACGTAGGGCTAGCTCCGTCCTCCGGGGAAGGTGCTTCCCCCAGCCCTGGGGCGAACCTTGGGGGCCCAGGCCAGCCGGGCAGGTCCTTCTCTTCGCCAGAGGATGTTTTTGACTCAGGCTTGTCGGGCCAGGAGGTCTGGAAGGACTTTCCCTGGAGGTCAGAGAGGAGGCTGGGGTGCCCGGGCCCCTCTCCCTTCTAGGGCGTTTCAATGACAGAAGCACCAGGTACCCCGGGGGGGCAGTCCCTGGGGGGACAGGCCACACCTGCGGTGCCAGAAAGGCCCTGACCCTCCAAAACACGGCCAAGCCACTCACACACCTGCTTCTGGGCTGAGCAAGGGACAGAGTCTGGAAAACCGTGCCTTATCAGCCGCTCTGGGGCTCTCTGCACTGGCTTCCTACAGGCCCAGATATGTGAAAGGCGGTGGTAAGCCAGCGGGAGAAGGTGCAGGGAGACTCTGAATGTGTTGGGTTCTCAGCCGGGGTGATTCCACCTGGAGGGGACACTCGGCAGCATCCGGACGTGGGGTTGGTTGTCGGGTCTGGGGGCTGCTGTAATTTGGTGCAGGGGGTCCCGGGTGCTGCTAAACATCTTATAATGCCTGGGACGGTCCCCACAGGGGTCACCTGCCCAGCGAGTTGGCAGTGGGGGGCGGGGAGCCCAGGCTGAAAGCCTGCAGGAGCCAGGAACGTGTTCCTTCTAACAGAAGAGGAGGAAGCAAGGGAGAGAGCAAAGTCCCAGGGAGGCTGGAGACGGGCATGGTCCTTCTGAGTCTCGATGGGAGCCCTCCTGTCACCCCCTCCCACAGGGGTGCCGGCCGAGGGTCCAGACCCAAGGCTCCCAGGGACGGGCCTTCGCCGGGTGGGGACCCTGTCCTGGACACGGGTCACTGAGGAAGAACTGATTTCGTGCAGATAGCTGGCGATGGATGGTATGAGCTTCCGGAGGTGAAATTTAGGGTGACGCCTCAGGCCGGCCACCACGCAGCTGAGGACCGGCCTTTGCTCTGCGACCACATGCAGTCTTTCTCATCAGGATGTACCGAGCCGCGCTCCAGGCCGGGAAGTTCAGCGTCCTGGTTCCACTGGTTCTGTCCTGACGTCTCTGTTTTGCCCACAGACCATGACCTCGCCCCGGCAGGCCAGCCCAGCCCGCGCATCCGCACTCCACCACCACCCCGTCCCGCCTCCCGCGAGGCAGGCACTCAGCCGCCCTGCCTCCGAGAGCTACGTGGTCTTATCCTTTTTCATCTGCTTCTGATCTAAAAAAAAAAAGGGGTGGAAAGCTGGTTCACGGTGTGGTTGACAGGAAACGCGTTATCTGCGCTGTTCAGACAGGCCATCCTGCGGCTCCTTACCTTATAAGATTCTATCGTCTAAATAAGGTCATGGCTGCGGGACAGATGATGCCGGGGCAGGCTGGCGGGGAGCCAGCTTGGGTGCCCTGGGCGAGATCGTGGGACCGGGGCAGCCGAGCACTCGCCCCAACAGGACCCAGACCTGCCCTCCAGAACCGCTGCAGATGGAGCTGGGGAGACAACTGGAGGCCGGCCTGGCTGGGGGCTGGGATGGGACTGCCTGCCTGCCCGGCTCCCCCCTGCCCACTCCCGCTGGGGTCTGGTCTGTTTGTCGAGGGCACTGCCCCTCCGGCGGGCGGCTGAGAGGCTGGTGTTGCCGCCTTCTCTTTCAAGTGTCGGGACGCAGAGTCCCTGGTTCACACAGCACCGTGGGTGTGTGCTCGGCCCGAGGACTGCAGGGGCCCTGCCGGGGTGGGGCCGGGGGCATGAAGGCAGCGTGAGGTCAGCAAGCTCACCACAGGTGACTTCCTTCACCTTCAGGGTCGTGTTGGAGGCCAGGCACAGACCCTGGGGACCACTGCGTCTAGTGTCCTCAATTCCTGCCCACGGGAGGGCAGGGGTTCAGAATGGGCTCAATTCTATGGAAGCCCCCAGGACCCCCAGACAGATAACGCCATCCCCAAGAGCAGTTATAGCTTTTCAAAAGCCTCATTACTGCATGTGCTACACAATTTCCTTTTTTAAAGGAAACCTGCTGCTGCTGCTAAGTCACTTCAGTTGTGTCCAACTCTGCGTGACCCCATAGACGGCTTCCCCATCCCTGGGATTCTCCAGGCAAGAACACTGGAGTGGGTTGCCATTTCCTTTTCCAAAGGAAACCTAGATTCTCTTAAAAAAAAGAAAAACAAAAACTCCTTAAAAACGGACTCTCCCTGCCCCTGCCCAGAGTCCTAATTGCCGCTGTGGTCTCCCCAGCCCCTGGGCATCACAGCACCCCCACAGTGTTGGTCCGGCGGCCTGCATCTCCTGCTTCTCCAGGTCCAGGTCGAGAGAGAGTGACAACCGTGGCTCCCCTGGCTCTGGGCATGGCTACCAAGTGGCTCCGCCCATGAACGAAGGCGACCCTGTCAGAGCAAACAGGCCTGCAGGGGACCCTCCTGCAGAACCTCAGCCCGGACCCACCAGGGCTCACCGACTAAATCTGGGCCTCCTCCTCTGCCAGGAGGCTGACTTCCTGGCTTCCTGGCTGGCCTGTCACGGAGATTCAGCAGCATTTGGTCTGTAAATCACAGAGCCAGGGACCCACTGAAAGTCCCTCCCGCCCGCCCTCTCCTTCTGTTCCCCTTAACCAAGATTCTCACGCAGGACCTGGGGACTCAGAGCTCAGCATGTGTCACCGTGAAGACCCCCGATGGGCCCTCTGTCAGGAGGCTGCCTTTGGGGTCAGCGATCCCGCAGTAGGTAGAGGTCAGGGCGTCCAGTTGGGGGAAGCTCAGCTGACTGTGACACATGGGCAGCTGAGAAGCGCAGCGTTCTGACAGCTGTCTGGGGAAAAGGAGAGCATTTGCTCATTATTACTGAAAAGTTTTATAAAACCCACACAATTACGATAATGAAAACGCTGACGTCAAGTGGGTACTTATAGCACGCCAGCTACGTGCTATGTGATGAGGGTTTAGAGGCAGTATTTTGTTTAGTCTTCATGACACCTTTTCTTTTTATACAAAAGAAAAACGAGGTGTAAGCCAGGTGAGTGGCTTCCTGACCTCACACACACTGGGCCCTGGAGCCGAACCTGGACGGGTCCAACCTTACAACCCCTCACTTGCCAGGAAACACCTGGCAACTGCTTGCACTCTACAGGCTTTATTTTGCTTTTACAGTTTCCTGTTTATTTTGTATGAAATGAAGCAAAGCTTGTCATTTGAATTTTTCCCATTGAAACAACTTTCAGTCCATCCCTTCCCCATCATTTCGTGATTCTTCATTATTATTCATTTCTTAGTCCCCAAGAATCTGGGGTTTCTTTCTGTTCTTGATACATCACTGTCCCCATGGAGTTCTTTCTCCTTGCCCGGACCACACCCCCTCTTCTAGTCTTCACTGAGGAGACGGGGTGGGCTTTTGTGTAAGTCATCACGAGTCACACCCCTTTCAGAACCTCAGCCACATCTCAGGGTCCTTGTCCCGCGCACGCAGCAGAGGGGAAAGTGAAGTCCCAGAGGCGATGATGATCTCACGGAAGGAGCCCCTCTTTGGTGAGGGACAGCCCCCTACGGTTCCACCTGGGCCCACGGAGCACATGCCCCCAGGCCCCTAGGGGAACACAGCTGCGGGGCCTGCTGTTTACAATCAGAGCAGATTGCGTTCATGTTGTAACACGTCTGTGTGCCCCCACCCTCCAGGAAGCAAAACTTTCTCCCCAAGAGTTTCCTTGTCTCTGTAGCCTGGCTCAGCATCCTCTAATCCGTGTGGAATGAAACGTCTGTCCCCCCGGCTTTCCAATTCACCTGCTCTTCCCGTGACTCTATGCCCCCAGGTCCCCGACACCCCAGCCTCACCGCCCCTCCTGGCCACGCGCTCACCCGAGCGGGATGGCATCCGACCTCCTTGCCCGCCTTCTGCTTCTCCCCTGCCCGCGCCTGCTCTCCACGGAGCCGGGAGAGCTTTCCAGAGCGTGAGCCGCCTGCTGGCGCCTTTCTGTTCAAAGCCCCTTCTAGTCTTACTGGGATAAAACCTGAAGTCCTCTTCCTGGCAGAGGTCCTCAGACGCGCCGGGGGGTTCCCACACAGGGCCCACCCGGACTGTTCCTTGGACAGTGTCCTCCTGCCGTGGGCCCAGGGGGTGCAGGCCGCTCAGGCCTCAGCTCGCGGAGCAGCCTCTGCTGTCCCGGCCGTCAGAACCACACACGGCGGCTGTGTTGAGAGTTGGTCCCTGTCCTCAGCCCACTGGCCCCAGGCCCTCAATGCATCTCTTCTGCTTCAGCTGGCATTGTCCCCAGTGCCCGGCGTGAGGTAAAATATCCAGGTGAGGCCAGTATGGGAACGGGCGTTGGGTTTGGGGCCAAGCTTGCCCCCACATGAGTCCTTTAAATGTTCTGTGTAAAGGGCTTCTCCAGCCAGACCTGGGTGGTAGCAAAACCCAGGGCATGTGCCTGATTTCATCTCCCCTGGGTGTTTGCTCACCTTCTCTGGCAAAGCTGGAAGGTGGCGAGCAGGAGGAGAGACCGGGGCCACGGCCGGCGCACTGGTTTCCTCTGACGAGTGGGCAGGGGAGCCCCAGCGCCTCCTCCAGCTCAGGACTCCCGATCCACATGGCTGGGAATGACCCCCGATCCACTTCTGGGAAGAACTGCGTGCAGTTCATGTTGGAGGTTCTCTGCTGCACTATGTCTGTAACAACAGAAACACCTGCATGGATTCAAGAGGGCGGCCCCACCCGAGCGTCTGGACTGGACTCACCTGTGCGGGTGGCATTCCATTCTGCAGCTTTCTGAAAAGGTTGTTAAATGGAGAGCCTGCCTCTTGGCTTCCAAGGAACATTAGGGCCCCACACCGAACTGTTGAATCTGGTCTTCTGGCAACTTAAGAGCCTCAGAGATGCAGGTGTGATGAACTGAGGTCTCACTGGCCAGAGTGTGCATTCCCCACCGTGTTCCTTCCCCTGCGTGTTCCTTCCCCTCCGTGTTCCCCCCCTCCGTGTTCCTCCCCTTCCGTGTTCTTTCCCCTCCGTGTTCCTCCCCCTCCGTGATCCCCACCTCCGTGTTCCCCCCTCCGTGTTCCTCCCCTTCCGTGTTCTTTCCCCTCCGTGTTCCTCCCCCTCCGTGATCCCCACCTCCGTGTTCCCCCCTCCGTGTTCCTCCCCTTCCGTGTTCTTTCCCCTCCGTGTTCCTCCCACTCCGTGTTCCTCCCCCTCCGTGTTCCCCCCTCCGTGTTCCCCCCTCCGTGTTCCCCCCCTCCGTGTTCCCCCCTCCGTGTTCCTCCCCCTCCGTGTTCCCCCCTCCGTGAGCCTCCCCCTCCGTGTTCCTCCCCTTCCGTGTTCTTTCCCCTCCGTGTTCCTCCCCCTCCGTGATCCCCACCTCCGTGTTCCCCCCCTCCGTGTTCCCCCCTCCGTGTTCCTCCCCCTCCGTGTTCCTTCCCCTCCGTGTTCCCCCCTCCGTGTTCCCCCCCTCCATGAGCCTCCCCCTCCGTGTTCCTCCCCCTCCGTGTTCCCCACTCCGTGTTCCTCCTAATCCGTGTTCCCCCCCTCCGTGTTCCTCCCCCTCCGTGTTCCCCCCCCTCCGTGTTCCCCCCTCCGTGTTCCCCCCTCCGTGTTCCCCCCTCCGTGTTCCTCCCCCTCCGTGAGCCTCCCCCTCCGTGTTCCTCCCCCTCCGTGTTCCCCCCTCCGTGTTCCCCCCCTCCGTGTTCCCCCCTCCGTGTTCCTCCCCCTCCGTGTTCCCCCCTCCGTGTTCCCCCCTCCGTGTTCCCCTCTCCGTGTTCCCCCCTCCGTGTTCCCCCCTCCGTGTTCCTCCCCCTCCGTGTTCCCCCCTCCGTGTTCCCCCCCTCCGTGTTCCTCCCCCTCCGTGTTCCCCCCTCCGTGTTCCCCCCCTCCGTGTTCCTCCCCCTCCGTGAGCCTCCCCCTCCGTGTTCCTCCCCCTCCGTGTTCCCCCCCTCCGTGTTCCCCCCCTCCGTGTTCCCCCCTCCGTGTTCCTCCCCCTCCGTGTTCCCCCCTCCGTGTTCCCCCCCTCCGTGTTCCCCCCCTCCGTGTTCCTCCCCCTCCGTGTTCCCCCCCTCCGTGTTCCTCCCCCTTCGTGTTCCTCCCCCTCCGTGTTCCCCCCTCCGTGTTCCCCCCTCCGTGTTCCCCCCCTCCGTGTTCCTCCCCCTCCGTGTTCCCCCCCTCTGTGTTCCCCCCTCCGTGTTCCCCCCTCCGTGTTCCCCCCCTCCGTGAGCCTCCCACTCCGTGTTCCCCTCTCCGTGTTCCCCCCTCCGTGTTTCCCCCCCTCCGTGAGCCTCCCCCTCCGTGTTCCCCCCTCCGTGTTCCCCCTCCGTGTTCCTCCCCCTTCGTGTTCCTCCCCCTTCGTGTTCCCCCCTCCGTGTTCCCCCCTCCGTGTTCCCCCCTCCGTGTTCCTCCCCCTCCGTGTTCCCCCTCCGTGTTCCCCCCTCCGTGTTCCCCCCTCCGTGTTCCTCCCCCTTCGTGTTCCTCCCCCTTCGTGTTCCCCCCTCCGTGTTCCTCCCCCTCCGTGTTCCCCCCTCCGTGTTCCCCCCTCCGTGTTCCTCCCCCTCCGTGTTCCTCCCCCTCCGTGTTACCCCCCTCCGTGTTACCCCCCTCCGTGTTCCTCCCCCTTCGTGTTCCTCCCCCTTCGTGTTCCTCCCCCTCCGTGTTCCCCCCTCCGTGTTCCCCCCCTCCGTGTTCCCCCCCTCCGTGTTCCTCCCCCTCCGTGTTCCCCCCTCCGTGTTCCCCCCTCCGTGTTCCTCCCCCTCCGTGTTCCTTCCCCTCCGTGTTCCTTCCCCTCCGTGTTCCTTCCCCTCCGTGTTCCTCCCCCTCCGTGTTCCCCCCCTCCGTGTTCCTCCCCCTCCGTGTTCCTCCCCCTCCGTGTTCCCCCCTCCGTGTTCCCCCCCTCCGTGTTCCCCCCCTCCGTGTTCCTCCCCCTCCGTGTTCCCCCCTCCGTGTTCCCCCCTCCGTGTTCCTCCCCCTCCGTGTTCCTTCCCCTCCGTGTTCCTTCCCCTCCGTGTTCCCCCCCTCCGTGTTCCCCCCCTCCGTGTTCCCCCCTCTGTGTTCCCCCCCTCCGTGTTCCCCCCCTCCGTGTTCCCCCCTCCGTGTTCCCCCCCTCCGTGTTCCCCCCCTCCGTGTTCCTCCCCCTCCGTGTTCCCCCCCTCCGTGTTCCCCCCCTCCGTGTTCCCCCCTCCGTGTTCCCCCCTCCGTGTTCCTCCCCTCCGTGAGCCTCCCCCTCCGTGTTCCTCCCCCTCCGTGTTCCCCCCTCCGTGTTCCCCCCCTCCGTGTTCCTCCCCCTCCGTGTTCCTTCCCCTCCGTGTTCCCCCCCTCCGTGTTCCTCCCCCTCCGTGTTCCCCCCTCCGTGTTCCCCCCTCCGTGTTCCCCCCTCCGTGTTCCTCCCCTCCGTGAGCCTCCCCCTCCGTGTTCCTCCCCCTCCGTGTTCCCCCCTCCGTGTTCCCCCCCTCCGTGTTCCCCCCCTCCGTGTTCCTCCCCCTCCGTGTTCCTTCCCCTCCGTGTTCCTCCCCCTCCGTGTTCCTCCCCCTCCGTGTTCCCCCCCTCCGTGTTCCCCCCCTCCGTGTTCCCCCCCTCCGTGTTCCCCCCTCCGTGTTCCTCCCCTCCGTGAGCCTCCCCCTCCGTGTTCCTCCCCCTCCGTGTTCCCCCCTCCGTGTTCCCCCCTCCGTGTTCCTCCCCCTCCGTGTTCCCCCCCTCCGTGTTCCCCCCCTCCGTGTTCCCCCCTCCGTGTTCCTCCCCTCCGTGAGCCTCCCCCTCCGTGTTCCTCCCCCTCCGTGTTCCCCCCCTCCGTGTTCCCCCCTCCGTGTTCCTCCCCCTCCGTGTTCCTCCCCCTCCGTGTTCCCCCCCTCCGTGTTCCCCCCCTCCGTGTTCCCCCCCTCCGTGTTCCCCCCTCCGTGTTCCTCCCAATCCGTGTTCCCCCCCTCCGTGTTCCCCCCCTCCGTGTTCCTCCCCCTCCGTGTTCCTCCACCTCCGTGTTCCCCCCTCCGTGTTCCTCCCCTCCGTGAGCCTCCCCCTCCGTGTTCCTTCCCCTCCGTGTTCCTCCCCCTCCGTGTTCCCCCCTCCGTGTTCCTCCCCCTCCGTGTTCCTCCCCCTCCGTGTTCCCCCCCTCCGTGTTCCCCCCTCCGTGTTCCCCCCTCCGTGTTCCTCCCCTCCGTGAGCCTCCCCCTCCGTGTTCCTCCCCCTCCGTGTTCCCCCCTCCGTGTTCCCCCCCTCCGTGTTCCCCCCCTCCGTGTTCCCCCCTCCGTGTTCCCCCCCTCCGTGTTCCTCCCCCTCCGTGTTCCCCCCTCCGTGTTCCTCCCCCTCCGTGTTCCTCCCCCTCCGTGTTCCTCCCCCTCCGTGTTCCCCCCTCCGTGTTCCCCTCTCCGTGTTCCCCGCTCCGTGTTCCCCCCTCCGTGTTCCTCCCCCTCCGTGTTCCTCCCCCTCCGTGTTCCTCCCCCTCCGTGTTACCCCCTCCGTGTTCCCCTCTCCGTGTTCCCCCCTCCGTGTTCCCCCCTCCGTGTTCCTCCCCCTCCGTGTTACCCCCCTCCGTGTTACCCCCCTCCGTGTTCCTCCCCCTCCGTGTTACCCCCCTCCGTGTTCCCCCCTCCGTGTTACCCCCCTCCGTGTTCCTCCCCCTCCGTGTTACCCCCCTCCGTGTTACCCCCCTCCGTGTTCCCCCCTCCGTGTTCCTCCCCCTTCGTGTTCCTCCCCCTCCGTGTTCCTCCCCCTTCGTGTTCCTCCCCCTCCGTGTTCCCCCCCTCCGTGTTCCCCCCTCCGTGTTCCCCCCCCTTCGTGTTCCTTCCCCTCCGTGTTCCCCCCTCCGTGAGCCTCCCCCTCCGTGTTCCCCCCTCCGTGTTCCCCCCTCCGTGTTCCCCCCTCCGTGTTCCTCCCCCTCCGTGTTCCTCCCCCTCCGTGTTCCTCCCCCTCCGTGTTCCTCCCCCTCCGTGTTCCCCCCTCCGTGTTCCTCCCCTTCCGTGTTCCTCCCCCTCCGTGTTCCTCCCCCTCCGTGTTCCCCCCTCCGTGTTCCCCACCTCCGTGTTTCTCCCTCCGTGAGCCTCCCCCCTCCGTGTTCCCCCCTCCGTGTTCCCCCCTCCGTGAGCCTCCCCCTCCGTGTTCCTCCCCCTTCGTGTTCCTCCCCCTCCGTGTTCCTCCCCCTCCGTGTTCCTCCCCCTCCGTGTTCCCCCCTCCGTGTTCCTCCCCTTCCGTGTTCCTCCCCCTCCGTGTTCCTCCCCCTCCGTGTTCCCCCCTCCGTGTTCCCCACCTCCGTGTTCCTCCCTCCGTGAGCCTCCCCCCTCCGTGTTCCCCCCTCCGTGTTCCCCCCTCCGTGAGCCTCCCCCTCCGTGTTCCTCCCCCTCCATGATCTTCCCCCTCCGTGTTCCTCCCACTCCGTGTTCCTCCCCCTCCGTGTTCCCCCCTCCGTGTTCCCCACCTCCGTGTTCCTCCCTCCGTGTTCCTTCCCCTCCGTGTTCCCCCCTCCGTGTTCCCCACCTCCGTGTTCCCCCCTCCGTGTTCCTTCCCCTCCGTGTTCCTCCCCTTCCGTGTTCCTCCCCCTCCGTGTTCCTCCCCCTCCGTGTTCTCCCCTCCGTGTTCCCCCCCTCCGTGTTCCCCCCTCCGTGTTCCTCCCTCCGTGAGCCTCCCCCTCCTTGTTCCCCCCTCCGTGAGCCTCCCCCTCCGTGTTCCTCCCC